TTTTATGATGAAAATATATTTTGGAATAGTATTTTGGTGGGGAATGTATGGTTAAAAAATAAGAAAAAATTTGAATTTGTATTTAATAATATTTTATTGAACAAAGTGTGATTAAAATAATAAAGAAAAAAATATATTTTGAAAAATACTGGAACGGCCGAGTAGGTTTTATTATGTAAAACTAGATAAAGAGACCTAAGAATCGCTAATGGTAAATGAATTAAGCTGTGAGTACAGGATAACTTACCAGACATTTTACAGGTTTTTGAAAAAGGTCGACGTGGCTTTAATGAAAAAGGAAAAGAAAGAAAGTCAAAAACTAAAACCTAAACAATACTCCCACATTTCCACCATTTAGGCGGGACTCACCAGCCCGGGAAGCTAAGAAGCTTGAACCGGCAATCCTGAACTCTGCATTTCCGGTGAACATCCCGCCGACGACATCTCCGACCCTTCCATTTAGTTTTTACTCACCATTTCCCAAACTCACCAGTCCTCTTTGCTCACGCTATTTGAAGCCAGCTAAAGCTCTTCCGGTTCGATTTGGGTGCTAAGAAATTGATATGTGCGAACCTACAGCTTTTGAAGGTTTGTTTTTGAGCATTTAAGTGTTTTCATTGCTAGAAACTTGTAGGTTTCTTCAATTTAAAGTAAAGAATGTTAGTTCAGCCCAAAAATTTCAGAAAATGACTGTATTTTTGGTTTTTTTTTCTTTCCGAGGACATTGACACACCATACGTCTATCAGCGTTTACCCCATCAAGTTGGAGAAAATTTGTGATGAATAAATGGTAATACATTTTCTTCCTCGACTTTTTATAATATGAAACTCATCAAAGTTGTCTGCAATTTTCTTGATAAGTGCTATTTGGTTTCCCTGCAGCTCTTTCTCCAATTGCATTATGACGAAGTTGCACCTGCACCTGCTCGAGGAAGATCTTGCTCTTCTGCACTTACCGTCTCTGTGGGGTTTCTCGTTCTTTAGTAATAGTAGGCTTTGTAAGGTTCATTTTGAGCTGCTACCATCTTGTTCTATTAGTAATTTAATTGTGTCAGTAAGTACATTTGATTGGCCGCGTTGGCTGTGCATGTGAGGTGGTTTTGTTATTGTTAGATGATGTTAGACGGCTGCGATTGGTAGTCTATTACCTTAAGGTCCATTTTGAGCTGCTACTCTTTAATACCATCTGGTTTTGTTTTGTTATTGTTAGATTATGTTATTGTCATCGATCAAGTTCATGTTGCTGATTTTATCCAACAATCTTTAAGTATTATTCTTCAACTCAAGTTCATGCGATAGAGCTGAATATAAATGGCACTATAAGATTGAAATGGCTGGAAAAAATAAGATTGCAAAACGTGCAGTACTATAATATTGAAATCCCTGGAAAATATTGCTGAAAGTTTACATATGAACTAGAAATAGGGGCTAAGATTCTAAGATATGAGCAATTTGACCCTACAATGACTGATGGCATATCCATCATTCCGAACCCTTTCCTTCGCCACCACATTTGGCAATTTCTTTTCCCTTGCTGAAAGTAATTTGCATGTCGATGCCTCGTTTCTCGCTAATTCTAGCTAACCGGTCCAACAATCTTGACAACTCTTCATCGTCCTCGTTCGGCGCATGATTCACCACATTACTAACGGAATCAGATTCCCCACTTAAAGCGGCATCTTTCACCCAATTGAAGTATACACAGGCATCACTACAGGTGAAGAACAATCGACATTTGTTACCGGTATCCCGTTCGACCTCAAAACATTAATCACATATTACACCCAATCTCGTAAAGAACAATCGACCTCATATTTACCGGTATCCACAGGCATAACTACAGGTGAATATATATTAATAATCAAACTCGTAAAAAATATAGACTTGATCACAACTAAATTAAGCTATGCCACCAAAATCACATATTTACACCCAATCTCACTAATGCAATGAATCAATCCTACGGGATTCACTTAACAGAATTCACTGAACAGAAGCTTCACAGGATGCACTCAGCTCTGCAAGAACACATCTGTGTGTTCTTCGCGGCTTCGCCGCCGACCGGAGGTGGAGGTTATTGCAACGGTTGGTTTCTCTTTCGGCCACCGACTTGAGGTTGAGTGTAGTGTGACGGCGGTTTCGATTTGGGTGGGATTTGGTGCACGAGGGTTTTTTGTGAACGGAGAGGCTGAGAGGTTTCTATTTGGGTGGGATTTGAGGCAAAATGAACGGAGAGGTTGATGACTCTTTTGGTTTTAGTTTTTTGACTTTTCTTTTTTAAATTAAATGCCACGTCAACAATTTTCAAAAACTTGTAAATTTTCTGTAATATGAATCCTATACCTATAGCGGGATTGAGGGTAATTTGAATGGATCGAGCTGTGGTGACATGGAGGGTAACACCCTCTCCCTGACAGACCATACACATCGGGGGGAGGGAGGGTTTTATTTTCATTTTTTATTTGACACGGATCCCACGTCAGACCCACACTCTTATGAGGATCTGTCACCCAGGTGGGCTGCCATTTTCTAGCAGAGGAGCAAAATTCAATTTGAATTGTACTGAAAAGCTGTCACATTGAGTTGAAATAATAATGATCACATCTTTGACCACTAATCATCACCTATTGTCCCATGAATGGATATCCATTATCTAGATGAATATAATTAATATCAACCTCGCATATATATATATTGATATTCCACTCATTTTCTATCTTATTCTCATTCTCATTTTTTTCTTACTTCATTTCAATCACACATTTTTCCAATAAAATAATATTACACACGAATCTAAAACTTTTCATAACTTTTCCACCACACATTCTCCCATCAATCACTATTCTAAAAATTTTTATCTTTAAAAAATGGGTGTCAAACACACCCTTAACTTCTCTGCCTTTTATTCTTTTAAAAAAATATTTTTACATACTCATTTTGAACTATACATTCATTTAATAAAATATTTTTCACATAAACTCAAAAAAAATTCTTACTTTTAACCACATATTCTCGAATAATTCATTATTCAAAACAATATTTTTTTTTCAAAAAAAAAAGCCACCAAACGATGGTTTAGTTACTAATTCCAACTATATAATCACCGAGATATATCTATATTTAAGCCTCTATTTGTTTCTCATTTTTATCCAAAAAATGAAAAATATGATCGTTATCCATCACATCAAGCCATCAATTTTGAATTTCTATCTCTTGTGTGGGGCCCAATAACGACTATATTTTTCATTCTCATTCTACAATAATAAGAATCAAACGGGCCATAAATCAAGAATTTTGAGTAGGG